TTTTTGAATAAATAACCTTCGACTCCAATAAACTTGCTAATTAATTACTTTGCTTTTATAACTATCTGTTTCTAGAACTAACTTTATCATCATGTCTGCTCTTGCTGATGACTTTATTTCTTATATTTATACTTAAGATTTGCTGCTCCTGACACGGAAGAAACGATCATCTTCGAATGTAGCCAGTCTAACTCTTCCAGGCCCTTTGGAATGCCTGATTACTCTTCTTTGGCTTCTGGTCCTGGTTCCACTTCTCATCATTCTCCGTTTGTCCCTCTCACCTGCAGCTCCAGCTTTGTTACTGCTTCTAACACCTCTTCAGCACCCTCTCTCTCACTTGTTCCCCCATTTCCATTGATTCCTACATCTTATGCACTTTCAAATGTCACCACTCCCCACTCAACTTATCAGCCAACATCAGGCCCATCAGTCACTGTTAATGGTATCTCTTCTCCATCACAAGTATCAATAATGCCTGCATACTTACATGGCAGTGTAAGCGCAGGCAATGGTGTGGGTTTGAGTGCTGACGAGGACCTTGCTGATCGTAGCCTTCAACAACTACTTCTAGACGAGGAGGACTATGAAGAAGATCTCCTACTTGCACTACCACTGGTCGCTGGCCCAACTTCTACATCTACCCCCAGTAGCTACGGCACACTGACAGGTCTTAAGATGGACGAATTCTCTTCATGTGACTTACCTAATGAGGTTAACCCCAACATTGATGGCTCTACCGTCGCTCCATCTGATTCCATCATTAGTCCCGTGAGTTGGTCAGCTAATTTCTCCTCTTCTGGTCGCTGTTGTTGTTGTAATTATGGCTACTATGGCTCTGCTGCAACGACTACACCTGTTAACACCGTCTCCACTTGTCTTCCAGGTGCAGATCAGGTTTCATCTGCCATATTATCAGCTGTGTCTATTAGGCATTCATCGTCTGACTCAGGCAACTCATTAAGTCCAGTTTCATCTGTCCGCTCCTCACAGCATTCACCTTCTCTCAGTGCCACTGGTAGTAGTAGTATGGTCTTAAGGGGTGGTGGCCACTCCACTAGCCCTACTCACTTTGCTACCTATCACCGACGTGGATCTCAGCCAGCTACAGCTTCGGGTATCCGCAAGGCGCTTCCGCTTCCTTTGCCCTTACAATTGCCATCTCTCATAGGCTCCAGCTCCTCTTCCGCTTCCAATGACTTCACTCATCACGTAGCTAATGGCTCTGGCGGCGCATGTCCCGGTGCCGCTAACAAATCGCCCACCCCTCTCCACTCTTCAACGGCCACTATCACAAATTCTTATAATTTCCCATCTACTATGCATTTTTGCCACACTTGTCACCCTTGCTGCTCCCGCCCTATCCATCCACACGTTCTACTTCAAACTGGCTCTAATGCATCCTCTACCATTGGCTCTTTCCTTTCGCCCTCTGCTAATATTTCTTCATTCCCTTCCGCAGCCACTCTCATGAGCTGTTCATCCTGCCTTCCACTGTCAACCTTTCCTCATTCGCGGACCCCCGCTCATTCCTTCGGCACACCTCTATTATCTCCTTCAGTTATCGGCGGCTCTTGCTACCCACCGCAAATCCAGCTTGCCACATTGATCAAACTGGTAGAGAGGCTTACTTATCCAGCTTATTTTGACTCCAGTATGGTGAACAGTTTCTTAATGTCTTTCCGAAGGTTCACTAGCCCTGAAGATCTGCTCGATTTACTCATCGAACGCTTTCATGTACCCGATCCAGAATTTTCGCCTGACGAGTGGCGCGTTGACTTGGCTCGTGGCAGACTCGAGCCGCCAGCGCACTACATGTTGAAGCGTTTTCGAACTGGCTACAAGCGCAGAGTCCAAGCCAGGTGGGCTGATATCATTGTTTCTTTATTTCTGTTTAATTATGAAGGTTTTTCTTCCCTTTTAACTCTATGCTGTGTATGCATGTTCTCTCACAGCCTTAGCAATGTATTTTATGAGATTCGCTTGCATTTTCCATTCGATCCTTAATGCTGTGAACCATTCGAGAGGTATAGTGAAAATGCTTTTTAACTCCGATTGTTATTTATAGGTATACTTTTGCAACTAAAACTGGGTAGTGCTATTTCGTTAACCAGAAATCATATCACAAATCAACATGGCTGTGCTGAGAAAATAAGGGATAAATTGAGTAATTTGTATAATCTATAAAGAAGTGAATCATTTTCATATATATATATATATATATATTCCTGCATAAGCTTAAGGCTTGATATAAATATGCCCGGCTTATGAAGCTTCTTAATTAGATTAACTCTGTGCATAGGTCTGGTAAAATGATAATGTTAGTTCTTTTCGTAGATTTCATTTATATAGGAGCTTAAGATGCTTTATATCTTCAGGCCACTAAAGCTCACTACTACTTTCATAATTTGGCAAAACTGAAATTAAATTTATCTTAAATATTGAGTTTCTTGTTAATTCCTACTATCTAAATTAGAAAATTTATCTAAATGGGTTGACCTCGTTTTTGCAACCTGGTCTTGTTATCAGGTAGATTTAGTTGAGCGCACCTTGTCCGAAGTCCTCTGCTATAGTAGATACAAAAGGAGCAGGGTTTCGAGGAATCTCATGAGATAACATTGTTGAGGGGAATTTCATTTCGAAAGAATGCGCATGAAGTAGAGATTCGTAGGTCGATCTCATCACAAAAGGACGGCTGAATCCCGTTGTACTGCAGCCGTTTGACTTTAATACGACGTTCAGGTTGACGCGATCCACCAGACATCTATCGTTTCGAGTGAAAACTAGCTGAACTTTCGTCCATCATATGATGGACATCATCAGAGCTGGATCTCATTCCTGTAAAGGTCTCACGTCAACACTAGGGCAAAAAGACTATTCGGCTCTATCTTACCTCTTATATGAACTCAATTAAGTAAAACAAAATAAAAAAACCCAGATAGATATAAAGTGGCTTGGCTAATTATCTTTAATGCTGGTCTTGCTACTTTTGCTCGAGTGTGTGTGTGTGTGCTAGCGTCTATACCCAATACCGGTCCAAAATCAGAGTGATCAAAAGGCTAATGTCAGTCTGGTCATCAAGGCTTAATGACCCAAGAGAAATTCCTTAACGAGACTGCTTAGGTCCGTAGGCAAGTATGGTTGAGATAATGAGATATGAACTTGTAAGCATTTAAGTGAAGTTACCAAACCACTTGTCCTTATCTTTTAGTCTAGGGTCATCACTCCCATCTTGACAAAAACTTATGACAAAACTGTAAGAACACTTCTTGGAAGAGATAATACTAACCCCCAAATTGTTGGTTAGATATATGGATGACCATTTTGTCGTTTAGATAGTTTCCTACTTTCACTCGCCCAACGTAAAGCAAACATTTGGTTTACGATGGAAATGGAAGAGAATAAATCCTCACTCTTTCTGAATGTTTTCATCATTAGAGAAGAGGGTTAGTTAGGAAAATATGGTTATAGGAAGCCAACATAGGTTGGCTCTGCTTAATTTTCTTTCCGACCATAGCTACAAAACATA